GATTTCCATGTGTGTATGCTAGTCCCCTTTATCCCTTTAGTTTTGCATAAAAGATACTTTAAACAACCTCGACAGGCGTGTATCCCTTTAGTCATGTACAAAAAAACAAAACAAATTAGGGTCAGATCACCATACAAATCAAAAATCACCAAAAAGTAATTCATTATTTTCTTTTGTAAATGAATAAAGGAATACACGCCCCTTGAGGTAGTTTAAAGTGTATTTTTCATACAAAACTAAAGGGATAAAGGGGACTAGCATACACACATGGAAATCGGACGATTTGCGCATGAGTATTGACGATGGGTATGCTGTTCTGACAGAACACCGGCATCAAGCTGGGTGAGAATTGACCTGGGAAGTAAATAATGGAGATCAACATGAACAGGGGTCAGGATGTAAGTCAGCGCCCTTTATTGTTTCGCTCTATTATCTGTCCGAACCCCTCTCACCAGAGCTGCTCCATGTTGTTTCAGCTTGTTAGATCAGAAGCGACTCGCGCTGTGTGGTGGAGTCTGTACGCTGCGTTCAATGCTATCAAGTAAATTAGCGGGTCTGGCATGCCGATCAGAGCCGAGGAGATTTTAACTGTGTTCGAGTATTGAGTGGTTTGACCAGGGGAGAAACGTGTCAGTGAGCTGCTCCCACTGCGACTAACAGCATATCGTTCTCAGGTTTAAACTTTTTTTCTGGCCAGTGTGAAAGGGGAATCAAACAGCTTTAGTCATCTGTTCTGGCAGGGGAATATTAATAATCTAATAAATAAACAGGACCAATAACCATATAGTATCCAACAAACGCTGTAAAAACATACTTTTACAATACAATCATAGTAGAGAGTGATTATTCTAAATCTTTTTTTATAACAAACAATGTTAATCTTAAGAGGACAACTTATTTGGCCATTTCGGAGAAAAAGCAGCATACATCTCATTCAAAATTAAAAGAAACTAAACTAAAACCACTGGTTTGACTCATGATAACTAGGCTGAAAAAGCATAAAAACCTATTGAATAAACATTCGATTCAACAATTTTTTACGTCTGCATTTACTAAATCTGGAAACCATCAATTATGGCTGTGTGTGTTTCATAGGCTTGATTTATAGACCCAATCCAACTGCTTAATCAAGGGTGCTAAAAATATAATCTCAACCCCCAGCTGGAAAGGTTTTGCTGTATTGATCAGAGGTGGGACAAGGATAATTAACCAGCAGTGATCCATGACCAACCAGCCCTAAACTAAATATCTATTCATTTCTCAACATGTGGAGGCATCACACTGATGAGATGACCGCCTGTGCTCAAGTTNAGGCATCACACTGATGAGATGACCGCCTGTGCTCAAGTTTAGAATCATTTCTGAGCCGAGTCCACCGCCTGTTTTTTTTTTCTATTTTTATTTATTTATTCTACATATTTATTTATTTATTTTATGTAATTATTTATGTATTTATTTTATTTCTGTTTTTAAAGACAGAAACTGATTCAAAAATGTGTTTCTTTAGACTTGTACTTGCAATTAACAAGTGGCTGGGAGAATTACAGTTGTTCTGTTTCAGGATCACAAAGAAATCAACTCTGTCTTTTTAAAAATGCTGGATTTGGATATTTTGCATTTTTTCTGTGAAAATACCACTTTTGATCCACTCTATAAAGCAGGGGTGCCCAACCAGTCGATTGTAAGAAGTTTTACAATGTAGACCTATTTATGGCTATGACAAAAAAAAAAATAATGTTTCAAAAAACACTAATCAAATCATTGATCACGAGAGGCCAACGTCTATTTTCATAATAAAATGAAAAGTAAAAAGTATGCAGGGAACCTTTTTATATGCATGGTGATTGCTGGGCATGGTTTGCCACGGTTGCTAGGTTACCAGGGACTCTAAAGCGTGAAGAGGAATCTGGAGAGATAATGACATCTATCACAACTGATGGGGCTCCATCTATGGTTGGGCGCACTGCTGGATTCGTTGCTCTGTTCAAGCTGTCTGAAACTTTCCCGGATTTTTGGATCTACCACTGCATCATTCAGCAACAGCTGTGCGGCATTATTTTAAATATGAAGCATGTCATGGACGTTGCGATGAAGATCGCTTGCTCTGTTCGGGCCGGGAGTTTTCAGAGGCGTTTATTCCGTGTCCAGCTCAAGGAGGCAGGTGCAAACCACACTGATCTGCTGCTGCAATCAGCAAATCAAGGCTGCAAACCAAGACTCAGCGTCAGGTCGCTGAGTCTTGGCAGATTCTTCAAAAGATTTTTTGAACTGTGTTGTTCTTCAATTCTACATAGAACAGACGAGGCATGTAAACTTGGTCTGTATATTTATTTCCAAACTTCCACAGAACCTTTCAGTAGCAATGTACATTCAGAACTGCCCTCTCGCTCTAGGCTCCATTGCATGCTGGGTATTGGAGTTCAAGAGCTTTCCGGCTCATAACATCACAGGAACTTTTGCCCGAAATTAAAGAAACAGTCAACAACCCTTTCTGCTGTATTTTACTCTTCACATCCACATAGTTTGTACTTAGTGTTTTCCTATTTTTATCTGTTTTCCTGTTGAATTTTAATCCATCTGCCAGTTTCTCTACCAATGCCAATGCCCAGTGAAGTTTATCATTCTGAAATAGTGGACTTCCCTTCTCCTTCTTCCTGCTTTGAAGTCATCTTAGACTTAGACAGATTTTATTTGTCACTTTGTTTACACAAGTGTAAAACAAAAAGAAATGTAGTTTGGAAACAGCTGTCTGGACAATTCATCTTTTTTTAAAGCACAGCCTTGAAAAGTAGTTAAAAAAAATGTATAATGTATATATATATATATATATATATATATATATGACTGTAAATTTACAGTTCTAACGGTTTTTTGTTTTCTCTCTACTGGACTGTGTGTGTGTGTGTGTGTGTGTGTACCAATTGGTGTATTTAGATTTTTTTTACTGCACAGCCTTTGTCTGGAGATCTTGACTGCTCTTTTCTATAGTTTTGGTGAGTGATATGGTGTGAGGTTCTTATGAGATTGTTAAGTTCTGTTTTTGCAACCTATTTTTTGACACAATTGATAATTTCCCCATTTGTTGGACTTACTGTTTATTCTCCACCTGTGCAAATAAAAAATACTGCCATCCCTTGTGTTTTGGCTTGGTAGATCTTGGCATGCCATCAACTTCAAAAGTAGATCTTGGTTTAAAAAAGGTTGGGCACCCCTGCTATAAAGCATCGACCTCAGCGCCATTTCTAACATTTTTATTTTTTTTTTTTTACCTTTTTTGGAATAACTATGACCTGGATGACTGAGAATCTTCACCAGCAACATACCACTTAACTGCCAAAACAATAATTTATCTGAGCACCAATGGAAGTATTCGTAACTACTTTATATTGTTTTTTTTTTTGTTTATTTGGATCTCTAAATTACCCCTGAATTTCTCCTCAGAGTTACACATGGTCTTCAGTCCATTTGACAGCTATTTTACTGTTACCCCTGGTTCCAGAAGGTGCTGTGTGGCTGCAGGTTTTCTTTCCAACCAATCAAAAGCACACCAGACTCCAGTCATCTCATCAAATGAGTCCAATCTGAACATGATGACTCGAGGAGATGAATGGACTATGGTTTTCTATTGCTTTGTTGGAAAGAAAACCTGCAGCCACACGGCCTTTTCTGGAACCACTTTGACACCCCTGATCTTAGGGGAACTAAATGAGTTTGCTGTTGTGTTTGTCACACACCTTCACAGTGGTCTGACCGAGGCGGCCCGTCTGGAAAGCCTTGATGAGGTTTGAGGCCCCCTCGATGGCTTTGGGGATCTCAGCTGGGGTTGGGGGAACCAGCTCAACGCGAGCATAATACCAGAAGGTAGAAAGCCGAGGTTTGGAGTAGGTGACAGCGGCTGTAGAGAGATGCAAATATAGTCAATGTCGCCAAAAAATATTTAATTGAATTACTTCATTCAAATCTACAGTTAAAAATAAACCAAAAACTGCAAATAAGAAAGCTGAATCCACGCTGCTACACCTCCTTAGTCTACTTATGATGGACCCTGAAACACAGGACTAACAGGGTGCATAAACTATTACACAAATATAAAATTATATTTTACTAAGCTTTCTGTTGCATGTTAGTTGCTAGCTAAGCTAGCATTAGCGGCTCGGCTAGGAGTTTTCTATTTAACACGTTTAACAACTGAATTAATCATACGGGTAAATATAAGCTCACCAGCTCAAAACAACAATATTGACTTCTAATAAGAACGTTAAATATAGCCACATTTGTGTAGCATCGGCTTAATTCATCTGAAGGCTAGGCTAGGCTAACCTAGCGTCATCCTCATCGATCTACTTAAGGGTTGCTAACGGAAATTGGACAAATTATACCATTCTGCATTAATCGAAAACAAAATTCGGATAAATGACAGACCTCCAATGAGAGATGGTACTTTAGAAACCAGTTTCTGCACAGCCTGTGCCATTATTGAGCTTCAAACTATCCCCGGTTTCTGCTAACCCACTGAATGTCACCTCCAGCTGAAGGACCTCTAACACCAGCTGACCGCGCTAGTGCCTGTGCAGAAATCACTGGATCTCCCTGGTGCCATCTTGTAGGCATGAATAAATCTTACAGCGCCCAAGTCTCAGTTTGTCATAGGTTTGCTTGTTTTGTTTTTTCAAAAACATAAAGAACAATTTCCTTGCAGATCGTGAAAATTATTCCATCCTATGTTTGTTTTTGTTCATAAAGTCAGTAATAGTTTATTTAATGGCGTGTTTTACACATAAAAAAACAGCTTCACATTCCAATTTAATTTTAAAAGCACATCAAAAAAGATAAACACATCTTATTGAACTAAGAATGGCTATAGATTTTGTTTTATTTTTTAACAATCCATGTAGTTCAAACTTTGCAGGTAGGTATGGTTTGCCTTCTGATGTTTGTTGCCCCAGCTTATTCTTACTAGAAGAAAAATAAATCTTCATGAACTAAGAACAGGAAGTTGTGCAAAAAAACAAACAATAAACGCAGGAAGCTCAGGCCTGTTTTTCTCATCCCAATGGAGAACATTCACTGGATTTTTTAATGCCTATATTGTGTAATTTCCTTACTGAGCACAGGGCTTTTAACAGAGTGGGAGTTATTAACATGCAGGAGAGCAGCCCCTTAACCAATCAACTGAAATTTGATAATGTATGTAGCTACATCCCTTTACACAGCCTGTGAAGAAAGTGCTACTTACTCTACTTCTTACTCTACTTCCACTTACTCTGATTCTACTGGATATTAAAATCCATGCATTTGGAAGAGACTAATCTTTAAACATTTTAGATTTTTCCACATTGTCTTGTCCTGGTATTACCAGCAGCAGGGGATTTCTACTCTACAAAACAAGTATTTGGAGATGGCAATAAGGTCTCATCAGTGTAAACAGGAATGTAGTTTTATGCCCTTCAGCCATTTATCACAATTTGTTATTGTGATAACAATTTAAACTTAAGAAAAAACAAGCTAATAAATAGAAATATATTGTATACCAAACCCAACAAACAAACTTAAGTATTTGTTTCTTTTTTTTGTCCCTTTTCTGTGGAGTTAACCCCACTGACTAATTGACCTGCTGCTGTGGTAAGTAACTCTGTATTGGTAGCAACAAAAGGAAAAACAAGCTGTTGAATTGGTGTTACCCCCTAAAACTCACTAATAAAGTACAAAAATTTGAATCTTTGGAAACAAAAATAAATTTTTTATTGTAATTTTTACATAGTTTTACAATTGGGATATCAGTTGCTATATCAGTTTTATATCATACATTTTATCAGACGAAATAAATTTAAAGATATTTACATTTTGAAAATCGCATCAGAAATATGCATTGATCTTACCACCACCTTATCATTTTCTACAGTTTCAGAAAACAAAACATTTTCACATATTTTCTCACTCATAGAATTGTTTTTATGACATTGGTGACTATTTGAGCATCTTTTGCCTCAGAAAGACAGCAACACAATTCTTCAGCCAAAATAAACTTCAATAAAATGTCTTATTAGATCCAATATCACCTTAAACTATAACACTGAAAAGAAATGCTGTACTTTCATTCAATTAATTAATTGAACTTTATTGATCTCACATTGGATAAATGTACCACTGCATTTAACCCATCCCCATCGTGGGGCGCCCAGGGGGGCAATCAGGGATTAAGGGTCTTGCTCAGGCACCCAGAGGGGCAGTCTGTGGGAGTAGGATTCAAACTCACAACCTCAGGATTCCAAGCTCTATGCCCTAACCACCAGGGCGCCACTCCCTCTAATATTCTTTATAAAATCTAATTCCTTTTTAGCTTATGTTGTTGGTTTTATTGTTTGGATCGCCTTTGAATCCCCTCCTTTAGACGAGGTAACTAAGGGACAACATTTGCATTAGTTATCCTCCTTTTCAGGTCTCTTCATAATATCCAGAAAGTGTGCATGGTGCTGAAAAAAGGCCTCAAAACTGTTTATCCTCATAAAATCGAAATCTCAAAATTGTCTTCATCCTGCCGAGATACAAAAGGAATGCATGGTAAGGATATAGTTAGCAATAACAGTAAATTTGTTATCAGATTTAATATTCCCTCACCTCTCTGCCCGTCACAGCAGGTTCTGATCTCTCTTTCTCGTTCTTTTTGTCAAAGCTTACTCGATCCATAACTAATAAGGAAAGATATTTCCCTCCATTTTTCACTAAAGTATTCACATCTTCTAGATATTTCTCCTCCACGTTTTCGCCATTAACCTCCAATAGAACATCTCCCACAACCAGTCCTGCTCTCTGCCCAGAACCTCCAGAAGCCACCTACAGTGGAAGAAAAAAAGTCAAAATCCCTGAACAAAAGGTGTCAGTGAAGGCATCTCACTGTTAAAATCCTATCCTGCTTGTGAGCGCATGCAGTTTTGGTGTATGTTGGTTTTGGGTCCCACCTCACTGATGAAAGTCCCAGGTCTCTGCACAAAAGAGTCGAGATGAAAGCCATAACCGAGAGGACCTCTTTCGACTCTGCAGAGCTTCGGACTCAATGAGTCATTGTTTTTCTTTACAGACAGCTGAACGTCAACAGTGTTCTCAGGTTTTATCTCAGCTGCTTCACTGTCAGAGAACAGAAGAGGAGACAGGCCCAGCTGGGGGAAAACAACACAAAGGATGAACAGTATTATGTCATCATTAATTACAACAGGAAATCCGTTCTTGAATTCTGAGCTACAATCATGTTTTGTCCAACATTTTATTGGATTTGAAATATATTTAAAAAAAATGTAATATATATACTGTCTAGCCATTTAAAATTTTTTACATTGATTGTTTCATTGGTTGGTTGGTTAATTTAACTGTTGGTTGGTCAGTTGATTGTCAGTTTATCTTGTTAGTTGTTTGGCAGGTTGGTTCATTACTTGGTTAGTTGGTTGGTTGGTCAGTCGGTTGGTCAGTTGGTTGGTTAGTTAGTTGGTTGGTTAGTCAATTGGTTGCTTGGTCAGTCCGTTAGTTGGTTGGTTGGTCAGTCGGTCGGTCAGTTGGTTGGTCGGTTGGTTGGTTGGTTGGTCGGTCGGTTGGTCGGTTGGTTCATTAGTTGTTTGGTCATTGGTTGGTTAGTTGGTTGATTGGTTAGTCGGTCGGTTGGTTAGCTGGTTGATTGGTTATTCGGTTGGTTAGTTGCCTGCTTGCTTGGTTAGTTAGTTGGTTGGTTGGTTGGTTCATTAGTTGGTCGGTCGTCGGTTAGTTAGTTGGTTGATTGGTTAGTCGGTCGGTTGGTCTGTCAGTCAGTTGGTTAGTTGTTTTGTTGGTTGGTTTATTGGTTGTTGTTCATATCATTGAATTTGGTTAGCTGGTTGCTCAGTTGGCAAGTCTCTATCTTTCTGGTGATTGCCAGTTAATTATTTTTATTTCAGTGGTTACAGGGTTTATTTTTAGTGAGTTTATTGCTCGTTTCTTTGCTTGAGTTTTTTTGTAATTGGCTTGTTTAGATAGTGGCTTTGTCTACATTCTGAGCAGCCAGATGGCTTTTTGGGCTTTGATTGTTTGGTAAACATTAGTTAATAGGAATGAAATAATCAGCTGTACAGTTGGGTGCACCTAACACAGGGAATGGCCCAATGTTGTACTGACATGTATCTGGACAATGGACCTTTGCAGGACAAAAACTTATTTTACCTTCTGCCTGAAAGATAACCTAACAGGATGAAGTGGGTAAAAAAAACAAAGGGGATGGATCCTTAGGAAGGATTTGTTGTTGAAAAATTGCACAAAAGCTTTCAAGTTGTTTCATCTGTATGGTTACGATAAATAAAATATTAGATAACGTGATAGCTATAAGAGTAACAGTTTTTAAATCAGCACAGAGATTACCAAATTGCTAAAAGATGTTCATATGCCATATGAACATAACAATCAGGGTAAAGAAACTGGGATATTTGAAGTACATTTCCCGAAGACCAGGAAAAAAGCTAATATGAACTTCCATGTTGTTTACAATCAAAGGCATAGGAAGTCTTTTTTTGTTGTTGAGTTTTTACAGCACTAGTGGCAGTTTTTTGGACAGTAGGTTGACAGGAAAGGGGGTCTGAGAGAGGGGGAGAGATATGCGGCAAAAGACCACAGGTCGGATTCAAACCTGGGTCGGCTGTGTCAAGGACTAAGGCCTTTCTACATGGGTTGTGTGCGCTAACCACTGCGCCACCAAAGCACGCCCCTGGAAGTCATTTTTTACTATTTGGAAACAACAAAGCTGCAAATAAACACTGCACATGAAATACCCAAAGACCTTTTCCAAGTATGTGTCACTCTTCTTTTTGGCCAGGTTAAAGGATAACAAGGAAGTGCTTAAAAATAACAACAACAAAAAAAGCCCTGTGAAGGATGAGACTAAAGTGATCCCCACCTGGTTGTAAAATCCTAACCCAGCTTGAGAGATGGTGGTGAGGAAGACCTGCTTTCCACTTAATCTCACTCTTTCCACAATCTCATCGTGTCTGAGCGAGTCCACCGACTCTCCATTGACCTCCAGCAGGATCTCTCCATCCTCCACACCTGCCTTCTCTGCTGGACTGCCACTCTCCACCTCACGCAGAAAATGATCTGTTAAGATAAAAACAATCTAAACCAAAACAGGCGAACAGGATTGGTTTGAATCTCTTTTCCTTTTTTTACATGTGTGGCCGGATGACGTCTTCTCCAGTCGGAGGAGAAATCCATATCCTTGTGGCCCAGAGATCAGGTGCAGCTTTCTGGCTCTGAAGGGCAGCTTGTGGGACACAGCCATGGCTGGTAAAATGGGCATCTTCTTTTTCATGTAGATCCTCTCGCTTTCACTGTCTATCACCAAGATTGTGATGCTATTTCCATATTTTTTCATCTAAAACAAAATGGAAACTTACATTTAATTTATGTCCTGAAATGCCAAACAGTATTTGCACAGCTTTCCAGTGCAGCAGTACAAACCATTCGACTGAGTGCAGAGTGTGTGAGGTGGGACACCATTACTCCGTTCATCCAAATCAGATGATCTCCCTTGCGGACTCCTGCTTTTTCAGCCGCACCACCTTTCACCAGGTTCACTGAAAAGCGACCTTTCTCTCCTTCAATGCAGAGACAGAGGAATCAGTCTTATATCTCTGTGCCTACCTCAACAGAACAGCTATCTAATCTTGTCTTGAACATTGGACCTGATGGGATAGGCAGGAGATGAGTTACCTTCCAAGGCTGTAAAGCTGATACCCAGACCTGAGCCAGGATGCTTGGTGATGTGGCACAGTCTGGGCGGCTTGCAGGGTTCTTCAGCTACATTTCCCGACAACAGTCGAAGGTCCGAGCCCCTTTCCACAGCCTGCTCATACGCTTCGCCATCCAGAACCAGCAAGCATAACTGCTGCCCGCTAAGCTTAATCTTCCTGGCAACCTGAATCCCAAATAGATCATAATAGAAATTATAATTTGCATCAAAACAAGGGTGACTTCAGGATTAAGTGATGGTACCTCAGTGTGGGGAACATCATCAACGTAACAGTTGTTGACCTCCAGAAGTCTGTCTCCATCATGCAGGCCGCTGCGCGCCGCGATGCCCCCTGACACCACATTACGTATCACGTGTCCATGGCAACCTTTCTCCATCCGTAGGTTGAAGCCATACGTCTGGCCCTCCTCTCTCTTGAGAGCACACAGGCGTGGCCTGGGAGTCCAGCAGGGATCTGATTAAAAACAGGAAAAGATGCTTTGATATAAAGAGTGTATCTTCTTCATGCTGTGCTGCAGTTTTAGTTAATAATACCTGAGTTATCTGTGATGACCATGGCAGGGTTATCGATTCCTTCTTTTGGATCAAACGTAAATTTCCTTTAGCAGAAAAAAGAAACATGTTTTATGCTATGTGACTATAGGAATTAAGTCTCCTATAGTGCAGTAAAGTTCAGAATTTGATTATTAAGCCCCAGTTCAAAGATGGTAAGCTGTGAATATCCTACCTGCAGAGTCAGAAATATGAAGAACTTGAACTAAAGAGGAGGAACTAATGCCGGGTTTAAGAAGTAGAGATGGATATTAAAACTGAGGTGGAACCAAGACAGGTGGATATCTGCTATTTGATTTGGTTCTGGAACAGCTGATGAGAAAGTACTTCCCTTACCTAATTATTTCAAAAACATAAGATATGCTTTCAAAATGAACAATTTTACAACAATTCCCTGTAAAATACTTGATGCTCTATATTTTTTCTGTACCATGGGGTTTAAAAATGGCTTAGGCCATAGAAATATTTTCATCAGCATCTCTCTCAGTCTCAACCTGGAACATGCTTTCTCAACAGAATCACATAATTCTTGTGCAAATGATCCAAAACTGACAATAGCAGAAATGCAGATATTACCTCTGTTTAGTAGAAATACTATACCAAGTTTAGTATTGTATCCAGATTCAGCGTCTAAGCATCAATACTTTTTTTTACTGTATCAGTATTTTTGACAACCCTACTACCTGTGTCATTGGTTTAAAGAGTTGGAAATGGTCTTAGTTTTACTTTATTCACTGAAATCTAGATGCAGGCAGCCATGTTGGATTCTGCTCTGCAGAGTTTTCACCTCCAACTTCAACAGTGGAAAATCCAACTTCAGCAAACATTATTGAGTTTTTTTCAAAGGGGAACTTAAATATTCTTACTTCAAGATAAAACAGATTACACACTGGAATAATTGAGATCTAAGTAAGCCATTTATTTTCTTAAAATCAGTGCATTAGTTCTTGAATTGAGACACTTTGCCAATGGAACACGACAATTTACATTTAAAATAAGAAAAAACAATTGCATTGTCTTATTTCAAATGATATTACCTTATTTTTAAGAGTAAAATGCTGATTCCGTTTACAAATTATTTTATTTACCTACTTAAATTAAGCGTAAATACATTTAATTTAAGAAATATAGACTTATTTCCAGATCATTTTTGCAGTGCACCATAGTTATCCTTAGAGTAGTCAAAACTTAAGGGTGCTTCGAGGGTAATATAACCAAACTATCCAATCTGTAAAGGTAGTTTAATGAGAAAGCGTTTTCATGAACCTTTAAACCATTGTCATTTGTTGGTTATTTAAACCAATACTGATGATTGTCTCCACAGGAATTGAAAATAAGCGTCAGTTTGCCAAAGATGACCTTCCCTGTGAAATATAAGGCGAGAAGGGAACCCACATGTTTTGACGTCTTCAGTCAGTTATCGTTTTAGATTTGAACTGCTTAAGCTGGCTGCACATTGGAGCAGCTCTGCTAACATTTCATTTCCCTTTAGGGTTAATAAAGTAAAACTGAATTGAATTGAATCATTCTTAATCATTCTGCTTCATTCTATCTCTATTTTCCCATTTTGCAGAATTTGTTAGTTCAATCTGTAATGTTACGCTCTCTGCTTTTTCTCATAGTATCTGGTCTGTTCCTGTTTGGCTGTGACTCCATCCTGGAGAGAAATATCAGTTGTGCTGCTGCCATCAACACCTTTATTTATAGATGCTCGAGATCTGCCTGTTTTTAAGTGTAGTCCTGTTTCTCTGACTGTGACTGGCTGGATGGGCTCTCTTGGTTTAAAGTTGCCTTTTGTATCTCAGCTCATTTTTCTATCTCTGCTTCCGTCTCCTTGAATCCCAGTCAGCCTTGGCAGATGGCCGCTCACACTGAGTCTGGTTAGTGTGAGGGATTGCCTTCGAGTCAATGAGTCGATACAATCAACTGGTTTTCCTTAGAAAACTTTTAATCAATCTGACTGCATGATCTGGTTGAACTGTAAAGTGCCTTGAGATGACTGTGTTGTAAATTGGTGCTAAATAAATAAACTGAATTGAATTGAATCCCCCATGGAACCATGAAATGGTGGAATGACAAAGCAGTGAGACAGAATTAGCTTAAACTACTGTGAAGGTTTTAATTCCCTCTTGGTCTATAGATGTTGCCTTCGCTCCTCAGGAACTAACTAATCTGGCCTTGTATAGGAAAAAGTCATTTTCATAAAAACTGCTGCAGGCAGGATATCAGCGGCTTTCCACATCTTTCTTTATTATATCCCACCCCCTTTTAAAGAATTGTTAATTATGAATTATTCCCTTTTCCAATTTTCAGGGTAAAATATCAATCAATGTTCAAATGAATGGCATTTTCCACTTTCCCAAATAATTAAAGGTGCATGCAGTTATACTTGCTTTTTAATTGCACAACCTAACTTTTAATTGGGGCAATTACCTCTGCACCAGAGGCCTTGTTTATATGGCCTTAAAGCTGCAGTGTTTGTGCAAACCCAACCAAAACATTTCTTTAGAGACAAATACAACAACAGAGAGCAAATAGTCTCCTGGTCTGTTGTCTGCTTTCTCTGATTATTGGATTCTTTGGCACAGAACTTCATTAATATAACCCAAATCAATCAACATATTTTAAACAAAGCCTGAACCCCTGAAGTTTAAAATATTAAAATGAATGCAGAAAACAAGAAAGTGGACTTACTCTGTCAACATGATGACTTCCAGCACACCGTAAAAAACAAAACAAAGAACACATGAGGTGAAATACTTTGACTGCATAAAACTCACTTTATAAAAGTCTTTATCTGCACATCTCCTGATGAGAGGATAATGACATTTACATAATATAGATACCTGTGCTTTCGACACTGCTCACATGCTCATTACCTATCAGCCATGAAAAGATATGCTTTTATAACTGGATCTTATGGCTCTAGTTGTGTCTGCCTGATAGTAAAAGCTCATTTTTTACAGTATGGGTCGTATCTGAGCCTCCACCAACATATCTGCTGACTTTAACTAACAAGGGAAACACCATAAAACTGGGTTAGACTTTGTTTTGTCATCTTGGGTCTTTGTCTGCCTCTAGAAAGATGGAAAAATGGCAAAACATCAGAGAACTGGTGTTCTAAAACATGTCTCTATTCAGATCAGAGTGACGTTGTTCTGATGAGGTTAAACAAAACAACAGATTCAGGTTTTTGAGTTCAGAAACACTCAGCATCGCCTCACACCATGTGAGTGCAGGACAGTTGCTGCTAAGCACTGAGCAAGGTCCTTTTATTGTGGAAAAGAACTGCAGGTCATACAGTGCCCTGAAAAGCTTTTTTTTTTTTTTTTTTTACAATTTCAGTGTTGACAGGAATATAGAATATAACTTTGCATAAATTTCATCCAGTTTGAGTTCAGTTTAAAGGTAATTTTAGAATTAGTTTTTTTTCTTTTAAAGGGTTGTGAGATGTAAGAGATTATTATAATATTATCTCTGGCTCGTCTTTCATGTGATTAAAATGAGATTAAAGGAGCCTCCTATTCATTCTGACAGCAGTTGACTGAACTGTGGTCTGATCCAAAATGGCCGCCCTCAAGGCACCTCGGCCAGCGTCCAATGAGGCGTCTACGTATATAATGTCTATGTGTACATGACCAGCTGTTGCGTAACTTTGTGAGGCAGATCAACAACAAAAAAACCACAAAGCAGGGCATACATCTGACAGAGGCCATCTCTCAAAATCTATTTTCAAACGTTGCAACAAACTAATAACTTTTTTTTTTGTCTGAACTTTGACTAGGCCATTTTGAAGTACATATATATATACTTAAATCTAAACTGTTCATTGAGGCTCCTGGTGTGTTTTGGTTTGTTATCCTGCTGGAAGGTCATTTTCCATCATTCTGACCAGCATATCCTTCCTCTCTGAAGAAAAACATCCCCACAGTTCCTAACTCCGTCCTTTATGGTGAGGATGATTCTGTCCATTGTTCATTTTCTATCAGACATTAAATTCTGCATGTTGGCAGCAGGTTTGTATTAGTGTCAAATGAATGAGGCATCTTTAATCCGTCATTGGTAACTCAAAATTGTCCTTAGGTGTGAGTGTGTGTGTGCATGGTTGTATGTCTCTGCGTTGCTCTGCGAAAGACTGGCGAACCTGTCCAGGGTGACCCCGCCCCTTCCCTTTAGACTGCCGCAGATAAGGTCCCCACCGGGACTCTAACAGAATAATAAGGAAAAGATTAATTGAACCGAATTGCATTTTTTGTCACTTTTATGTGTAATGTAAATCCCTTTATTTTGCCAAAATAGAGGAAATTCACTTTCTGCATTTAACCCATCCCCTTGGGGAGCAGTGGGCCGTTATTGAGTGCCACCCGGGTAGAAGAGAGGGGTTAAGGGCTTTGCTCAGGAGCCCAGAGTGCAGGCTGTGGGGATTGAACCAGGTACTTGCAACCTTCTGAGAGTTCAGGCACACTGCTCTAACCAGCAGGCCAACACCCGTGGGTTTTGATCTCACACTGGAGAAATTTACCTCTGCATTCAACCCATCCTGTCTGGGAGAATTGGGCTGCCATTGTGCGGCGCCTGGGGAGCAGTGTGAGGTTAGGGGTCTTGCTCAGGCTTTGGGGATCCAACCAGGTACTTGCAACCTTCTCAGAGCACACGCACGCCTCTAACACACTAGGCCAAAACTCCCCTCAACAAAATCTTTTCCAAATTTGCCCAAAATCAACAAACAGTTGTATTTAAAATTACAACTGAGCTGTCGCTTTCAGCAGCTCCCACAGAGCTACCATGGACTTCTTGATTGGTTTCTGTGATTGATGCTCGTTTTTTGCAGCTGTGCTGTACTCTTTCCATTTTCAGATAAAGGATTAAATAATGCTTGTTTTACAAACTAAATCTCCTCCATATTCTTCATAAGCTCCAAGTCTTTCACAGAACAGTTGGATGAAATTGCTTCCTTTTACTTCCTTTGAAAGGAAGTTGATTGTGGTAGATTTTATTTAAGGGGCATCCAAATAAACAGGGTTATTACAAACATCTATCTCACCCATTAAGTCTACTGTGGGGTTGTTTGTCACATCAAATCCCAGTAAAAACGTACATCATGCATGTTTTGCGATGAAACAGGGAAAAGTTAGTTTGAATACTTTTGCAAGGCACTGTAGATATTTGTGTTGGCTCTTCCCTGCCTCTCATAGGAATGAGATGATATGAAAATGCCTGCAGCGTCACAGTGAGTTGCAGCTGTTCTCTTATCTAACAGTCCAACATGTTGTTGAAACAAAATTTCTCTGTCTCCCTGACAGTAACAGTTACAAAGAATTAAACCTCTGCTGCTGTCGGATATCCAGCTCTTACGGCAGATCAGTGTCACTCCACTCAGCCACCTCTGGACAACTAATGGGTCACTGTTTGCTTTTCCCCTCATAAACCTTCTTTTTAACCCTCATGTAAGGTGAAAGCCCAAACAACTGGGTACCCTTTAGCTAATATTGTGTAGTACAGAGCTTTAAATGGGTATAATAAAAACAAAAGAGCCTGACAAGCAGAATTTACAGAAAGTATTTCAACAACCCTGAATGGAATCAGTTCATCAAATGAAATAAGTTGTATCAGAGCATGAATCATATGCAGCTGGTTGAGATAATTAGGAAAATAAGTCAGAAATAGGTACCTGTAAAGCCCAGATGGGTTTGAATGAGATTAAATTTACAGCCAAGCCACAAACGCATTTAAAATGACAAAATAAAAGCATGCCTCACCTTCACCTGAGCTCATGTTGGGCTTCTCTCACATCCCGACAGCAAACAGCAAAGAGGGATGGACCTTTGTGAATGTACGTGCAGGGACTCCTCCCTTTCAGGGTTAATGTTTAATCAGAGTGGGATGTTTTGAGCACACATGTCTGTGTCCCATTGCTCTGTAGACAAAATACTCAGACCAATGTGATTGTTCCTAAGTGCTCAGTCTCCTAAGGAATAGTCAATACAGAGAGCTGTGGGGAAAGTTACCGATCATTGTTCTGCCAGAGTTAACAGAGTTACCACCCAGCCTGGCTGCCAGGGTCAGGGACCACGATCCCGTCCAAACTGATAAACCACCAGGGAAAAGTGCAACATGAAGAGAAACATATCTGGGCATAGAGCCAAAAATGTACAATGTCTTCTGAAAGGGTCGAAGATTTCATCACCATATTAAACCACATAAGGAGAGAAGAGAATGAAGGATTTTCAGTTTGGTTTTCAAATACAAATCTGAAGAGTAATGACTGTGTTTGTATTCAATCCCCCCTCCCATCACAAAATCAATGCTCCGCAGAGCCGCCCTGAAGCACAGCTACAGGTCTTCAGGCACGTCTCCACAGTCTTAGAGTTTCAAATAGCTCATGGATCAGGGACTGAGTCTGGCAACAGATTCAAGGTTTGGATTAAGGTTTGGACTTTGACTAGACCATCTAGTCTCTTCCAGCCTCTGCTTTGTTTATAGAACTGCCCTTTAACTTGCTCCACCCGTCAGCTCTGACCTGGACCCCGTCCCTGATAAAGAGAAGGCCCTCCTCTGCACGATTCTGCCACCACCAGGATGGAAGTAGGGACAATGTGTTTTGGGTATTTAACAGTTTCCTTAGTTTTTTTCTCAAACACAATTCAAATAAATTCCAGTTGAAGTTAATCAAACTTCAGTTTTGGTCTCATCTGATCAGAGTTTCTTGCAAACCTTTGCCTATATACCCCCTAAAGGCTTTTTTTGTTTGTTTTGTTTTTTAGTTTTTTTATGGGAAATGATGTAAACCTCCAGCAGGACCAGACTTTTACAAGAAGTCTGGATCTGCTGGAGGTTTCTTCCTGTGAAAAGGGAGTTTTTCCTCTCCACTGTCGCTACAAGTTTGGTTAGTGTAATCGATGCAATCAACTGGTTTTCCTTAACATAACTTTGAATCAATTTGACTGTATGATCTGGTGAACTGTAAAGTGCATTGTGATGACATGTGTTGTGAATTGGTGTTATAGAAATAAACTGAACAGAATAAAATAAACTGAATGTAATGGGCTCTGATGTACATTTTTTAGATAAAGATGGCAGAAGGAGTAGTAAACAAAGTCACATTGCCACACAAAAACAAATAGAAGTGTGACACAAAAAGAGATGTATTATCAGCTTCATTGGCACAAAAGTTTACTCCAAAACCGGTCATTTTAACTTGGACAGTTTAAGGTAAGAAAAGAAAAAAGAAAAAAAAGCACATTCTCCATGAGAAAATGGACACAGTTGACAAAACCACCCTCCTCACTTCCCTGCAACATTATTACATTAAACTGCTGATCAAACACAGCACCCTGAGTGTTTAATCTGTTTCTGTGTCATACTTCTATTGGCTTTTTGTGTGGCAATGTGACTTTGTTTACTGCACAGTGTTTTATCCTTCTGGCATCTTTAACCAAAAAAAAAACAAAACTTCAAAGCCCATTAGATCAGCGGTTTTCAACGTTTTCCAGGCCAAGGACCCCCAAACTTATAGCGAGCTGGAGTGGGGATCTCCTAATTATTTATATGGTATGCAATTGTGTTGTATCAAACTGGTCTTATAGTCACTCTATTACATATGGAGTAATGTAACAAAAGTAATTTATCCCTGTATTTCTGATTCTGACTCCTGGTTGATGGGACAGGTGTTGTGAATGAAACGGTGCCCAGCTTGAAAGAGCTCCTGTGTGCTGAATGTGTGCATTGATGACTGAAAGACATCTTCTGCCTCCATTTATCCATTTATCTACAGTGTGTTGACTCCATGTTAATGTGGATTTAAAGACATTTCAATTAGTGGAAGAAATTGCAATGGGGAATATAAAAAAAAAATCTAATCAACCAAAACTTTCATGACCCCCATGCAGTACCTCCGTGGACCCCCTGTTGAAGTCCTCCTCATTAGATCATTTCCTGTAAAAAGTCGGCCCAGAATACCAGTTATAGAAGCATTTTATACACACAGCCTGCCTGTTAATCACTTCTCACAGCTTATCATAGAAGTTTAAGGACACATCACTGGCTACAGCCTTAACAAAATATCACACGGTGTTCTTATATCAAGGACACCATGAATGCACAGTGACAGAGAGCACGCTGTCTGTCTGTGTTGCCATTTCATTTCCATATCTTTGTTATGTACATAGTGAAGATACCTTTCTATCCTGACAGAAGGACTGTCTGAATTAGATAAACTGCTTGGGAAAAGAAATTAGCCTTAACAAGTAACAAGCAGGTATTATTTAACAAGCACAAACATGAATAACAGAAAATAATCCTAACAAGATGTAACAGTGATGGCAGAAGAAAAGCCAAGGTTTCTCTGTTGCTTGTTAAGAGATGATAAAAAAGTTTAATATTATATTTATAGAGTGAATTTTGCATCATTATTTTTGCAGGCAAAAAGCATGTTTTCATTGGAATGTAACAAACATAAAAATAAATAAATAAAAGAAACACTGTTTTTCTTTATAAATGGAAATAAAAAAGCTGCATTTCAGGTATATAAAATGTAAACATAAACTTTATGAAAGAAAGGTTTTAAGAGTAACATTCTTGCTCATTTTTTTTTTATGTGATTTGTGTTCTTTTAAACTTTATTTTATCTTTTTATTGAAATTTGATTCATTTGAAAATTCTTTTTTTTTCTCAGATTTTTATAAATTGCATTATTTTCTAATTCTCTTCACTTTAAGCCCATTACAAACACTCGCTGATGAATGATTAAACATTTGTTGCAAACGTTCATATAGACAGATGTTTCTTAATCACAACTCCAGGGGAGCATGTGTTCCAAGAATTCAAAGATTATCTCTGAAATACAATTTTAATAGAACACAATTAGTAAAACTCAACCTGAAAAATAAATTTGAAGACCAACATATGAAAATATAATTCTTAAAAAAATTATATAAAACTTTCTTAAATAAGATATGAAAGATGTTTTTATTTTAGAAAAAAAATGCAATTTAAGTAAACAGCAAAGTTACACTCATTACACGTTATTTCTGGATTGTAATTTATTTATTTTTTTTCAAAAGGTGTCCTTTGCTTGCAAATATAACAGAATAAATTTCTTTCTTTCACTTCCATTTTGTAAATGAAATACTGTAATTAATTATCTTACCACTAGATGGCAACATCCTCCAAACCCAATTTCATCATCTGCGATAGGATGGTGCCATTCTGGCAAAATTCTGAGAATATATTTAAAGTCGATAAAACAATATTTTATATATTTCCTCACTATGCTGTATATTAATCTGTTACAAGCTGCCTTAATTAATAAGCAGCTGTAGCATTGAATAAAAATTCGTTTTCAAGCTAGTTTTTGTGCAATGATGAGAGAAGCTTCAGACCGGGTAGTTTTTAATTTGATCAGATTTTGATGTCTTTTATTGGGCCTCCTCAGTGCTGAATTAGATTCTATTGCCAAACTGTACTTCTGAAGGTTTCACAAGGGCCACAGATGGTCAATTAGTAACTTCTATTCAACCAGGGTTCAAAGGTCAAGTTATACTAAACTACATGAGGCTGAAGAGGAATGGTAAAAATATTAGAGATATACTGGGAGTTAGAGAAGCAGTGCATGTTTGTGTGTTCCTGACCCTTTTACCAAATGTTTAAGCAGTGATAAAGAAATATTGTGATTTATGGTTGCTTGTCTGTTTCTATAACATACTGAAAAATTGTAAAAAAAAAAAAAAAAAAAATGTTGTTAATGTAAAGATCTTCATTAAGAAAGCATTAAGTTTTGCGACAATAGTCAATGTTCATGGCGTTTAGGCTTCTACAGATCTGCATTTTGCTGTGCGAAGCTGGACATAGACTCTCCAGCTACCTGTTTTTCTCTTGAGGCTCCTTTGTTAGATTTATCTTTTGACCCATCGTACTGGAAAAATACACAAATTATCACCAAAGTATGCCTTTTGCATGATGCATGTTGTTGAGAAGCTGATATCGGAGGACATGATCTCAGTAGTTTTCATAGCAGGGTCTCTTTAGGCAGAACTGTATGAGGATCCATCACTGTTGGTACGATACAGGAATCAATGCGTACTTTGAAGACACAGGGGATGGAGACCATTCCTCTGCTGTAAACCCTCTAATTCTCTGCAGGATTTCAGTCTGCCCTTGATGTTTTATTGAACAAAAGGGACTTCTTTTTCCCTCTTGCCCAAGCACTTTAGTCTAGAATTGTTGAATTTGACAGCATGTAGGAACTGCATGCATTGCTTTTTTTCAATGTACCCTGTTGCTGTATATCTGGATACTGTATGTAGAAGCTTTTTGCCTACATGAGGCAGGACAGCTTTGCTCGACGCAAAAGATATCTAAAGATGTTATTTTAAGTGCTTGATTGACCTTATTGTATTCAAAGGGCAATGCCTCCCCTATCTTCTGCTGCATTGGATCATGCTTTTTCACTCTGTCTTTGCTAAGTTGTACCAGACTATGACCAGTGTATAAATGCTAGTGTTTGCTTACAAAACAACTTAAGTAAAGAAGAGTCTGAATATGGTCAGTGATAAAAAAAAGCCAACTTTCCAAGTCCTTCCAAAAGAAAGGAGAACCATTAATCAACACTAAACATTTAAGTTCAGTTAAATAAAAAGTCAAAGGAAGCATAGCATGGCACACTATAAATTCAAATAAAGGATGAAGGCTAAACTCATCTAAACTCATCTTTATCTATAAGCCCTTTAAGACAACCACAGCTGCCAAAAAGTGCTGAACCAAGTAAAGTTAAAACTGTATAAAAATAACATAGAAATTTTAA